AGTTTGAACAAAATCCATCCATAAATGCCATAAATGCTTGATATTTGATGTTTGTTTAGCACAAAAAAGGCCAACATTCGGCCATTTTGAATAGGATTGTCAAATCAATATATCTGTATTTAAAATTTGAACATAATCAGTGAAAGCAAGTCATTAATACAAAATGGCCGCCAGTCGGCCATTTTAAATCTTATCTGAAAAACAAAATTATTTGCATCAAGGTCCCATAATGTCTAATGTATATACCAAGTTTGAACAAAATCCATCTGTAAACAGCCGAGAAATGGTTGATTTTTAAGCACAAAAATGGCCGCCATTCGGCCATCTTGAATCAGATCGTGAAACAAATTGACGTGCATATGTATAATATCATGTATGATGTATGTGTGAAGTTTGATTGTGATTGGTCCAGGCATTTCTAAGATACAGGTCAGGACACACGCACAGACGCACGCACGCACTGACACACGGAGGTCAAAACATAAGTCCCCGTTTTCGGACTGCGTCCGAACAGAGACTAAAAACGATGTTCAATGACCATTTTTGGAGTTTCTAAAACCACTACTCAAAATTTTAGGAATATGGATTAATTACTTCAGTATTGCAACATCGGGATTCATCGTGAGTAAATAACAGAATAGAAAAGGTGCGAACCATGTTCCGTAGGCTCGCCGGCCATGCACTCTGAAATTAAAGGAGTTTTCTTGTAAAAGCAGGAACCAAACTACCATACCAATCACGATTATTATGCAATGAAATACACTTTTCACTTGCATATTTTAAGAAATGTCGTTGACGCCTGGTAAAACCCTCTGCCTATACTCGGGGATGCCCTCAACTTGTCTAAAAATAGAGGTTGGGCTTATACTCAGGAGGGGCTTATACTCGGGGAAGTACGGTATCCTAAAAACTATCAGGTCTGTGCAGTGTCCTATGATATCTATGTACCAAGTTTCATTGAAATGTGATGATTACTACTTGAAATATCAAAAGCTGAAAATTAATTAATTATGCAAATTAGGTAATTAGTATGTACTGATATTACACTAAAAACTATCAGGTCTGTGCAGTGTCCTATGACATCTATGTACCAAGTTTTATTGAAATGTGATGATTACTACTTGAAATATCACACACTAACTGCAAAGACTTCTTTTTTGTGCTTCGGAGACGGGAGTCGAAAATGTTGTTGGTTTTCTTCCCAAAATACTGAGTTTATTGAATATCTACATTGACTGAACATGTGTACTAAAAATATCAAAGTCAACCCTGCATGCGTCGCAGGATTTTGTACAGATAAAAGACAGTGGACATCCTGTGCATGTGTGACATGTGTGTTGAATTTCCTATAGTCCAATACATGTACCGGGGTACTACATACAAGTAGAGCACATTACTGCAAATGGCAAAGAAGGAGATACTTACGGATAAGCCAAAAACAATAAGTTGAGAACAGAGTTGTTTAAAAACATATGTACCATTGTCCATATTAGTGTTCCAAGTAATAAAACTAACACAACACACTTGAGTACTTGTGCTACCCAAAATAATACTGCTTTAACATCAAGAGAACTGTAAAACTGAAACATAAAATGAATATTTGTGTATATATGATTCAGTACTTCAATTTAGTGAGTGACTGACATCCACAACTCATTATTTTCATGTAATCTCATTATAGATCACCTCCTTAAAAAAACAAAAATTTACTACATTTATACAAAAAAACAATGTTGATTGTATGGCAGGTGCAGTACAGTCCAGACTTAACTTACAATCTGGCTTTGCCTTTTCATAGAAACTTATTTATAAGTTCTAAAGCAAGTACTGACAACACTAATTTCAATTTATTGCTTATACCAATGTAATAAGAGACATA